CCTCCTCCCCCCCTTCTCCCCCCCACCCCCCCCCACCCCCACCCCACCCCATCCCCTAGTAACTCTCATTGAAATAGCAATCGTTAGGCTTCCACATGCAAATAGGTAATTTTGTTTACAAAACGGGAACGAAGTAAAGCCAGAAAGACAAGTTTAGTTGATGTTGGTTTAGAAGATAGTAGACTGGACTAGAAAATTACACTGGCTAAGGGGAGATTACGATTTATGAACTCATTCGTATGTTTCCACCCCCGGGGCAAAATACGCGATAACTTGGATATAGTTTAGAGAAGAGTGATTTGAATAGACACTTGCAGTCTCCAAAAGTAACGTCGGCATCTTAACCTAAAAAACTAAACACAAATGGCAGAAAAGATCAAAAATTGACGGGGATATTATTGATAACATGGGGTGCGATAAAAAAGATATACACTAGGGGTTCGTGCATCTATTATTACACGACTAACGAAAGGATGATGTTTCATAACCAAAGCATTCCTCTTTCATGACTACCAGAGACGTAAACCCCGAAGATCTGTGAACACGAGGCCCACGGAGGAACGATTATAACAGTTACCAAATGTTTCTACTATCGTGCAGCTTCCATTTCGTGGGGTGAATTGATTCTTCGAAAGTGAAATATTTCACCAGTTTTGGGTGTGTAGTACATAACTTTCTCCTAAGGTTTTGCATTCCGTCAAACCACCCAGCGACCGATCGGTTAAGTTCAATACCGTTAAAAATATTTTAACCCGGGGACAATTGAAATTTCGCATCCAAAAATGTTTTGAGTCAATTCCGGACCAAATTTCTTCCCGTGGTAATAGAAAGCGAATATTTTATTCACACCTGATCTGTGAGAAATCAGCAAACAGAGTAATGACAGCTCAAAATCTCGACGGAAAATATCGCAGACATTGCACGTTACCAAACTGTCAATTTAGTACGCAGCCTGAGGTAACTGAATTCTAACGCATCACAGTCGTAATCTTTCCGCTCATGATAAGGGGCAAGCGCACGTCCATTGTCAGAAATCGCACTGCAACTACTATCCTATCTGTGACATCCAAATGGACGCATCGAATTACGGAAAACTGCACATACCGTTATTAGTTGTCAGTCTGTCTGCAACCGGCTACGTCAAGACGACAGTCAAAGACTACCTAGATTTGCAATTTATGTGAACTGAATGAAGATATTGATTGCTGATCTTTTTTCCAGAAAATTAAATCATATTCTAGGTTATCAACCCTCCAACTAATCGCGTTTCTATTCACTCTAATAATCAATGCGAGAGTGGTATCTACTGAACCATATAAAGTTACTAAAACTACATATATATACATATATATATATTCGTTTCAATAACCTTGTTTGCAACACCGGGGGTGATTTTTGCATAGACAGCTCTTTCAGAGCCAGTTCATTGAAGAATCAATACTATGATTTGATGCTGCAAACAAGTTTATTGTGACGAAAATACATCTCCTGGGTACAAGTATATCAATGAACTGACAAAAGATTACCGGATACGCATACCAAACGAGCGGCAAGAACTGCGAAACGGGTTGTGGGCTTCCAGGGTAATTTTATCTGGTCAATCATATATTACTTATTATGAAAAATATATATCCGTGTGTTTGTCTTCTGTTGGTATGATTGTGATTGTGATTGGTATGATGGTGAAAAAATAAATACAAGTTTGAAAGCATAGTTTCCCTGTAACGAATTATTCAAATACGAGTTTCTTCGCTACTTTGCGTACTCAGAAGCTACATAAACCAGTATGGGTCGAAATGCGGGGGTGCATAAATAGATCACGCAGCGCTTATAGTATGGTAACGACCAATTGAGTAAGACAGGCGAAATACAAGAGGGGAGCAAACAGATAAACCGGGATTCAATAAGAACAGTGATTCTCACATTTTCATCTTCATTTCATCAACGTACAGAATAATAAAGTGAATCAAACTTCAGCGATCGCTGTCAAACGCAAGGAAAGTGAGAAGGCGCAAGGTGGACAGGGATTTGGCTTATTTTGAGGAAGGGTGAAAGAAGCCGAACCTCTATGGTCAACACACAATGAGTACACAGTCTAACTGTGCATCTATATATTTTCAAGCATTCTGGTATGATAAAAAGTGACAAGAACTCCACTGCGGTCGGTTTTCTACCGGTGTCCCCAACTAACCAGCAACGGAGCCTTTAAGAGCCCTTCCTGGAAGATGGAAGATACCTACTCCGCCTAAGCGTTCTGTGTTTCTTTAAACCTCGTTTCCACGTCATCTATTAATCTCTCCACTTCTGTTTTTCTTCAAAATGGAGCAGCAACTGGCGAATGCGTGCAGTTATCTCCATTACAGTGCTAGTGTCACTGGTCACGCAAATACCTAAGTAGGAAAAAACATCCACTATCGCTAATTCCTGACCGAGCTTTAGCGCTGGAATAAATAGAACGCGAAATTAGAGCAAAGCTGTACACTTTCAGAGTGCAAAGCGCATAACGAATGGAATAACGGAGCTTGTCAGTCTGCCAAGTGCGTTTTATGCATTCTCCATACATTCAAACAGACAGACAATGTTGTTAGCATACCCTAAATAGCACAGCTCCTCTTTATTTGCCTATTAACAACAACAATCTGTGAACCATTGAGTGCAATCCAGTCCTTCCTCTAAACTGAAGTTAAATAGGAATGGTGAGGTAAGGGAACCCTTTACGAACACCGCTGCTAGATTCAAATGATCTGATTAGTTCATCCTAGACCCTCAAGTTAACAGATGTATGGGAGTGCAGTGACTTCATCAGGTCTACTTACAATTTCGCCTGCTCGCCGAGTCTGGTAATTTCTTGACAAACTTTTCATCACCAGCTGAGGGGACATCTTTAGTGCTTGTAAAGTCACCTCGGCTGATTATGAAACGTTTGCAAACAAAGCGCCAGGCGCGGCGATCAGGTGAAGTAGAATTCAGTTTACCCGAGTTACGAGAACCGATTTTCAATAATTTGTCAATTTCGGAGCATTCCTTAATGAAGAAGTTAACCCATCAGGGCTTCTCGATCACCTAAGTCGAAGTTGAAGAACATTGCAGCCGTTGGTCGGCGTAACTCAAGGACTGAAGCAACATGAAGATTGAGTCGATACATTTTCCGTACGGCCGGAATCCTGCTTGCAGTTCACATACATCCGTCTCCGTTAAGGGAGTCAAACGTTGAAGAATGGCGAAGGCTACCACTTTGGCAATGACTGGGATCAAACTAATCCCGCGATAATTTGTGCATCTATTGTTAGGCTTTAGAAAGTTGTACACCAGCCTATAGTCAAGCTGTGATACGAACGAAATGAAGAAAACACAAAGTAGACTATGGGCATGAATCAATCACATCGGAAGAAACTTTCCAATTGTCAGTCGGAAACCCGGCAAGATAAAATACCAAAGGATTTTGTAAAACAGATAGGATCAATCAGTTGCGCGATGTGCACAGGGTGATTGTCGTTTATTTTGCTTTTAAACAAGCATCGCTATATCTGCCACTATGAGAACCGCTACGGGAATAAGCAAAACACACATGACCGTTTCGATGTCACGACTAATCAAATTTAGGCCAACCTTCAGTAAACTGGAAAAGGTCATGGAAGAGTAGTTAACGGAAATCGGAAAAACAGCGTGGAAAAGAATATTTTTACCAGAAGATCAGGGCACAGTTACAGATTTCTCTATTGTGAACGAAAGACCCTTCAGCTTGCAATCACGATCAGGATCACCTGAGATTAATTTCGGGAGTAACATCACAACCCTGTGCGATGAACAGCAGACAGGGCGGACCCCATAGTCATGAAGACCTACTGTTCAGTCATGGTAACGGGCAATCTAAGCCCCGGGACTTGGAGTGGTGAACCATAAAAGGCCTCGTTAGGTTAGTCGTGTTATTGAACCGGACGACAATAAAGCTAACTACCATCAAAGTCGGGTGGCGGTGGCGGAGCTCGAACCTCGGACCATAGGGTCCAAAGCACAACAGTGACAGCGACTAAAACACTGTGTCACCACCACCACAGGACAGACTACGTTCTTCGGCCTTTCTTGGATCTAGGAAATTACCAGACAGAGAACCGGAAGGAGTAAGAGCCCATGTGAGACATTCATTATTGTTTATGTCAAAACCAGGTAGCGTGGACCATGTTACGATGAAAGACGTGTATTTTTATTATTTACGATCGAACTGCTTAAAAGTGATAACAGAAACGACAAAATCAATGGCATACCTAAAATTTTAAACAGTAATAATAGCGCTTCAGTCACCGGTGTGAACTATAGGAAGGTACAGTGAAAATAACGTTGAGCAAGCAACCATTTACCTGTTTCGACGGGTGATAACAGAGTCGGGCGTCTTCTGTGATTACCACGTACTTCTTTTTCCGTTTCCGAGAATCTTTACTCAGCCCTCTGGTAGACCTTTTATACAAATAGCCTTGTTTCAGCGGAATCAAGCGGCCAGCACCCAGGTTGTCACGAGTTCTCACGACACCCAAGCCATTGCCCCCAAAATTAACACCCATGGTGCACAAAGTGGCGGACGCCAAACCGGCTAGGGGTCCGGAAAGAGAACCGGTCGATTGCGGTCGAGGACGATCTCGTTTCGAATATTGTTGAGATGAATGAGCCAACTCATTGACTGAGCAATCAGAGATTCGACCGTGGCCGGTACTGCCCAGGGATGGTGGAGTGAGGCTGGGACCGAAACGACTACCGTTGTGCGGTTCCGAAGGACGCTATTGTAAAGATTTAGAACGAAAACGATAATCACTGAACACCTATCAACGACAGCTTCAATTTTCAGTCTGCACAACCATGCGCAACCTTGCATTGTTGTGCTACGGTCTAGGTTACCCACTGGATGGACCAAAAAGGAGAAGTAAACGAATGAGTGAAACACTGTGAGAAGGGTCATTCAAAGAGACAAAAAGCAAGTAAATTAGAATACCGTAGACAGTCATAGGTGCATGAGCGCAACTGCAAACCGAAATCAAATTATTTTTTTCGGATAGAATGCAGCGGACTGATAGAGAAGTTATCTCAATTCGATTACCAAATCCTGATTGGCTAACTTGATTGATGAGTGGCAATGATCAAGTGGAGGTGGTCGTGAGCTTAAATCTAGCTACCGCCGCCCATCGTATGCAGACTTTTACTGACCACGGTCCTCTTCCTGAAAACTATGGCATATTCAACAAATAAAAACGAAGTAAAAATATTAATAGTATTGTTGTGGATAAGTCTTAGTAATAGTCAGGTTTCAACAATTTAACGATTTTCAATGGCCCAGGCCATCAACTAGATCCATTTTCACAGACTTTATCTCAATAAACCCCGGAGTTAACTATCTCGAACTGAATTGCTGTTTTTCTTTATGCCTAAATAACGTGAGCGCCAACGTTGGGTTCCATCGTCCAAGTGGAGTATATTTCTATAAAAGAGTTAGGATAGACAAGTAGCGTCAGATGTCGATCTCCATTTTAGTGATTTATCTCCCTCCACACTGTTTGCTTCGTATACCCGAAGTACCATCAACACTGGGTTCACACTGTTCAATTTGGCCCTCAGAAACTTTTTACTTGTTTACTTCCTTTTATTTAATACAAAATGATACAATTTTCAGGACTGGGGTAGCGGTCAATTTAAGGGCTACCATATAACACAAATGGGGAAGTCAGACAGTGGTGATGGGATCCGAACACACGTCCTTCGGGGTGATAATTTGGTGACGTTACCACCGGATCACTACCAAACGTGGAGATTGAAGCAGACTATAGGATTATTGCGAAACCAAAAGAAACAGTAATGTGAGAGACTTAATCACGTGTTCGGTTTGAAGCTCTTTTTCGAAATCGGGTGAGTGTGTTGCATTGTAACGGCACTGTCCTAATCATTTCTGGGGAACCCATAGGTCATCTTTTCAACATATCATGGTTTACCAGCTTCCAATAGAACGGTGAGGCCTCGCTGTAAACTGAAAATCTGCCACAACCGAATAGATATAGCCAAATACGTGCGCGCCCATTCTTGATGGGATGTGTAGGTTTCAGGCCCAGAAACTAGCAGAAACATCAGCTTCACCCATGCACGTTGTGTCAGTTCACTTGAAGTTACGATGACAGGTACATTGGCAGTAAGGATTACTGTCGGACAAAACAAGCAGCAGAACTTATAAAGAATTAGATCATTATTGATTAAGTGGTTGAAACCAAGAAACCTGACCCTTTCAATTGCAAAATATGCTGACGTGCGGTTATCGAGTTTACCTTAACAACACATCCCAAAAAGAAGAAGAACCATTTTCTAGAAT